CTGGGTGATGCCGGAGGGGATAAATGACTTCGCATAACGGTTTGTTTTTGCTCTGAGTAGCCTCATTCTACCACTTGGATTAAGTTGGTTAATAATAGCATAATGGAGTGGATGAGAGGTATCTAACTCTAACGATGGAAGGTTTTCTGAAGATGTTCTAGATACACCTCACTAGTGGAGGGCAACTGTAGACCAATCATTTTACAAGCCTGACAGATCAATACGTCCTTTATCCACTCCGGCAGCATTACCAGCCCAACAAGCAAGGCAATATGTCCAAACACTACAAACAACAGATCTATAACATAGGTTCACTGGAAATTAATTTAAATAGAGTTCTCAAACAATTACATTCTAGGATTTAATTTTTTACACAGGAAGTCAATATGGTCACTCCAGCTCAATCGATTGTTAAAAACAATGCCCAGATATTTATAATTATCAACTATTTCTATTTCTTCTCCTTTTGTGGTTATTGGTTGAAATTGAAATTTACGTTTGGTTCTAAAGTCAATAATCATCTCCTTTGTTTTTGTAGTACTAATTTGTAGGTAATTATTGTTCCAAAATTCAACAAACCTTTTTATTTCGTTACGATAATGTGTGTCGTTATCTGAGATAATGAGGCCGATTGTGCTGGTATCATCAGCGAATTTTACAACTGGGCAAAGCTCACTAGATGATCTATAGTCAGCAGTATACAATGAATATAACTTAGGCGCTTTAACTGTACCCTGAGGGACACACGTAACATAGGTAAGAATTTCGGATTCAACTTCATTTATTTTTACAAATTGTTTCCTATCACAAATAAAATTTAAAATTAAACGTACAATTGGACGGGGGAACTGCATATGAAGATGTAAATCTTCAGGCGGTTTGCCCAAAGTGTTTTGTGCGCCAGTAAACTAGATTCATATGTTAATCATGGATTTTAGTAGCTGGTCCAGGAAAACGAAATACAGGGCGCGGCTAGGGGTGGGAATTTTACAGATGCCTTAGACTGAGGTACGAAATTCAATGACTATGGCACTACAAAACATATGTTGTACAAATGAATTAACGGGTAATAAGACACATATATTCAAATATTTATAAACTGGGGAAAAGAGGCGTACGACTAGCAGTGGATATTTGCCGGTACTATGACATATTCTGCACAATATTTACTGATGATTGTTGTGGAAGCACTTCTAACTTAACCTTAAAGATAGGCAAGTTCGAAGCCGGTAAAACAATACACTTTTATATAGTTGTCTTTAACTTGATCAATATTTTACTTGGATAATGTGCTCAGAATACTGTATCATTTATATAAACTGTGTACAAACAGTTGATAAATCAACTTTCTGATCATTCATAGCCACAATTCTCTTCAAAAGAATAAACAAAACATGGTCTTCAACCAAAATGTCTTACAGTTACTAGCTCTCGCAATGCTACCAATAGACACGTGTATGTAGTGTTATTGGTGATGAAGCATTGTCTGTAACCCCAACAACCTGATCTCATATCACTGTTGTGCAGAAATTAAAACTGGTGCAGTGAGTGAGAACCACCAAACACTGTTGAGAGATAGCAGAGGTAGCGTTAAAGCACAGGACTAATGCACTTGTTCCGAACCCAGGTGACTCAGACTGGAAGTTCCTAGATTAAGAGTGGGTGACTAAAATGTAGAGTCGACTCCCATGATTAAGGTCCAATCGGAATTGCAGTTACAATAAACTGAACTGAGTCGAGGGCACATGTTCACAGTTAGGCCTATACAGCAACAAAAGGAGGGATATGTCACCGCCGAATAAAAGAACATATGGGTGAACAGTTGGTGGTTAAATAACTGGTGTTAAGCAATATCATGAGATAGGGTCCCTGCCCTACCTGCAGAGGAAGAATTCGTTGGACCTACATTTTGCGGAAGAAACGTAGGCCCAGTCACTGGCACGTGAATTATTACTATTGAAAGGGAAAATATCCCCTAATATATCATCTGTTCCTAAGTCTTTCGAATAATTACTTGAAAAATCTTACTACAAATTCACACTAATGAGGCACTAATGGAACACACCGAAATAATGGCCTACTTTTTCTACATTTATTTAAGGTAAAATCTGTTTTTAAACTCTTTAATAGTAGTTATCTCAAAGCTGCGCATTAATATGTTCATCTTTCCCAACACCCTCTTTTTCAAAATTCCTGTATTACCCATGAAGATGAAAATACTGGTTGATTTCACGTTTTTGTTATATCTATATTTTTTAATGAAGTTGTTAAAAGTGAGCCTTGCAGAGTCAGTGATTGTGGAGCAATTTTAAAACGTGTGCTACCGAGTTGAAAGTTGTCAAAATCTTACCAGTAAGGTAGTAAATAATCATAATAATAGAGGCCTATTTCTAAATAAAATTTTAAATAAAAAAAATTTAAAATAAAACTTCCCGGCGCAAAAAATCAGTCAAAATGTCTTTTGGTGTATATGGACTTTGGTGCAATGTCACAGTTATTAAGTGCAGGCTCGGTGCAGTGGCGTAACGCCTATGCTCTCTCGTACGGCGGTCCGCATGGCCCTCGACCCCTAGGTGCCACGAAGGGGCCCCTAACTACATGTTCCTCGATCTAGCATCCTGACCCAAAAGGGCTTTGATAATACATAGCAGCATAATGTGTCTCTGACATTGACTGTACATACAGTATATCATATTATAACCAGTGGCGAATTAAAGGGAGCCCCTAATTTTCGAATTATAAGTCTGTGAGTGCCATATCCGGCCATTTAGAAGTTCGTAAAAATCATAATTTTTTTTTACCTCAGCCCAATCGTGGTGGGGCTGAGGTGGTATTGACCCTTTATCCGTAAAAGTCTCTCCTTGGGCCCTATTAAACATTCTTTGATTCGCCACTCATACTATATCATTTATTTTGTCGTTAGAAACATTTAGAATGCAATGACAAAACATAATTTAAAAACACAAGCACATTTAAAATCCCACAATGGAATTGGCGACCGGGATCCAAGAGGCCCCCACTCTCAGAAAACCACAGGGCCCTCGGCACCATCGTTACGCCGCTGGCTTGGTGGTCTAGTGGTTATGACACCAGGCTAGTTATCTTGAGGTCGCTGGTTCGATTCTCACCTGAATCACTTGCAAGATTTTTTTGCAAGTATTTGCCGTTAACAACCTGTTGGGTAGGGCAAAAGCATCGCTACATCAATCCAATGGAAATTCCTGATGCAAACATTTAAATGACATTGTACATTTTCTATTATAAAGTGTACATTGACTATTTT